TTCTTAGCCACCAGCACCCAAAAACCATAGACAAACACATCTGGAGCCCATCATGTTGAAGAAAAATGCAGAAGAGACTCTCGTGGGCTGCTTTGGAGACGTTAGCAGCACTCAGCTGACCTGGAGCAATATCAGAAGCTGCATGGAGGTGTCCCTGGAGTTACCAAGAAATAAGCTGTAGTGAGATACACAAAGGTAGTTCTGGTTTCACAACCTCTTGTTCATCAGTGAAGGATCCTTGGTGCTCTCTGAGCTTGGCTGTTTTCTTGTATATGTTTTGTTACCCAAATTAGGTAACACCATCAGTGCTAGTAGGGAATGGAGCTTCCATTGGAAGATAGGGACTGAGCTGAATGAGTGGTAGTTACAATCAGTCCTCAAAGTTCCAGTTGCCCTAGCACTCTTTGGTACCTGATCACAGCCTGAGCACTTGGCAACCAGCTGCCACTTGGCAACACAGTTGCAGTGTTCCATGAACACATGATCTCCATTTGCAATCTTCCCTGCTGACTTCCTAATATCAGTCAATTGGGAAACCGGCATAGGTCACAGATCACTCTGGTGTCTTCCACCAGCAGCAAGTACACCCACCCCACCATGCTTGTGCCAGAGCCACCCCAAGCCCTGCCATCTTTACGCTGTACCTTTTCTCTTGCATTCCCTCCTGCACCCTGAAGCAACCACTTACCCATCAACTTGTGAGCTGCTTAGGGCTTTGAATTCCCTGCTGTCTTCCCCACTGACTTGGTTATTGGAAGCTGGCAGAAGTTGCAAGGAGGTCAATAACCTACAAACCTTGCTTAACAATGGCTATGGAGAATGCTGGGGGTGCCATTGCTAAGTGATGCTGTCATATGACATTGTGATTTATGACTGCACTGATTAGTGATGGAAATTCTGGTCCCAGTTACCATTGTTAATCAAGGACTACTTGTAGGTTTACACACACACACACACAATTATTTCTTTATAAATTTCAACATCTATTGTGCTGCAAAATAACACAGGAAGTGAGGGGTAGGTTACATTTTAGTGAAAGCACATGATTCAGTGGAGGACAAAGAGGAAAACATCATTGGTGGAGTTTAAAACTGGCAAGAACTATTTTTTCATAGCACAAGATAGCTCTCTATTAGCACTTGGCTGCCATCTAATGGCCAACAAAGTCCTATCATTCTGAGAAAGTTTGTGCTGAAATGAAATTGAAGGCAAGATGCAAAAGTCTTGTATTTACAGGTGAAACTCGAAAAATTAGAATATCGTGCAAAAGTTCATTTATTTCAGTAATGCAACTTAAAAGGTGAAACTAATATATGAGATAGATTCATTACATGCAAAGCAAGATAGTTCAAGCTGTGATGTGTCATAATTGAGATGAGTATGGCTTACAGCTCATGAAAACCCCAAATCCACAATCTCAGAAAATTAGAATATTGTGAAAAGGTTCAATATTCTAGGCTCAAAGTGTCCCACTCTAATCAGCTAATTAAGCCATAACACCTGCAAAGGGTTCCTGGGCCTTTAAATGGTCTCTCAGTCTGGTTCAGTAGGAATCACAATCATGGGAAAGACAGCTGACCTGACAGTTGTGCAGAAAACCATCATTGACACCCTCCATAAGGAGGGAAAACCTCAAAAGGTAATTGCAAATGAAGTTGGATGTTCCCAAAGTGCTGTATCACAGCACATTAATAGAAAGTTATGTGGAAGGGAAAAGTGTGGAAGAAAAAGGTGCACAAGCAGCAGGGATGACCCCAGCCTGGAGAGGATTGTCAGGAAAAGGCCATTCAAAAGTGTTGGGGACTTTCACAAGGAGTGGACTGAGGCTGGAGTCAGTGCATCAAGAGCCACCACACACAGACGGATCCTGGACATGGGCTTCAAATGTCGTATTCCTCTTATCAAGCTGCTCCTGAACAAACGTCAGAAGCATCTTACCTGGGCTAAAGAAAAACAGAACTGGTCTGTTGCTCAGTGGTCCAAAGTCCTCTTTTCTGATGAGAGCAACTTTTGCATCTCATTTGGCAACCAAGGACCCAGAGTCTGGAGGAAGAATGGAGAGTCACACACTGCAAGATGCTTGAAGTCCAGTGTGAAGTTTCCACAGTCTGTGTTGATTTGGGGAGCCATGTCATCTGCTGGTGTTGGTCCACTGTGCTTCATTAAGTCCAGGGTCAACGCAGCCGTCTACCAGGAGATTTTGGAGCACTTCATGCTTCCTTCCGCAGACGAGCTTTATGGGGATGCCGACTTCATTTTCCAGTAGGACTTAGCACCTGCCCACACTGCCAAAAGCACCAAAACCTGGTTCAATGACCGTGGGATTACTTTGCTTGATTGGCCAGCAAACTCGCCTGACCTGAACCCCATAATCTATGGGGCATTGCCAAGAGAAAGATGAGAGATATGAGACCGAACAATGCAGAAGAGCTGAAGGCTGCTAATGAAGCATCCTGGTCTTCCATAACACCTCAGCAGTGCCATAGGCTGATAGCTTCCATGCCATGCCGCATTGAGGCAGTAATTGCTGCAAAGGGGGCCCAAACTCAGTACTGTATATGTATGGATGCTTATACTTTTCAGAGGTCCGATATTGTTCTATGTACAATTCTTGTTTTATTGATTGCATGTAATATTCTAATTTTCTGAGATTGTGGATTTGGGGTTTTCATGAGCTGTAAACCATACTCATCTCAATTATGACACATCACGGCTTGAACTATCTTGCTTTGCATGTAATGAGTCTATCTCATATATTAGTTTCACCTTTTAAGTTGCATTACTGAAATAAATGAACTTTTGCATGATATTCTAATTTTTCGAGTTTCACTTATACAGCTGTAGTCAGAGGATAACTAGAATCTGAGGGACACTCCCAGCACCTTTGCCTTCCTACTAGGCCAGTGCAACAAACATGATCTTGTATCCTAAAAAGGTCTTAATTCTAAAAAATCTCTCCAAGGACACTATTTCTGCAATGAACTGTAATTTTATATTTTAAAAATTATATATTGCTTTGCAGATACCACTCTTTTGCGTATATGAACTAATGCAGGATATCTGTAGTAAAACTTAAAAGGTATGTGTGGGGAAATACTAATACCATGCTCTTTTTAACAAAAAGATGTCTGTGATCATCTATGCTCCTGCTCACTTTAAGGAAATACAGGTAGAATACAGCTAGTCCTTGGATTAGAATGGCAATTGGAATTTCCATTGCTAAGTGATGCAGTCATAATGCATGACATCATGAACCATATCACTTAGCGACAGAAATCTCAGTACTCCCAGATGACATTGTAACCCCAGGACCACATGGGTTAAGCAGGTAGAGGCAGGAATCCCAGATTTGAAGTAGTAGTTCAACGGGTGTGTAAATGCTGCAGAAGGGTTGTTTGGATAGGCTCTGCAGAGCGCAGTTGGACAAAAAAGCAGGTGTGACTTTAGACTTCCTGCCAGCTTCCCCATTGACTTTGCTTGAGAGAAGCAAGCAGTGAACATTGGAAATCACAATTGTGGCTAGCTGAAACACTGTAATTACAAGCTGGGCACTATGTACCTGTAATTCAGTCATGTGACTGCAGGGATGATACAACAGCCAGAAATCTAAGGACCAGACTTAAGTCCCCCTTGTTCAGCACTGTTGTAACTCTGAACAGTCACTAATACAGAATGACAATAACAGAACAGTGCTTGTAACCCGAGGACTACCTGTGCATATCAGATCAAAAGACCACACTGGAAAAACTGTTCCTTTGTCAGTGGTTCTACCGGTCTCCCCTACTTTTTACCAAACCTTTTAGCTGGGGAGTTTAGGAACAGAACTTAGAAATGTATGTATGCAAAGTATACATTCTATCACTAGGTTATGTTGTATCCAGAGATAAGACAATGTAATCCTCTGCTGAAATGGTTAGTCAAATTTATAAACTGCCAACTCTCCATAAATCCATCGTAACTTTCATTTCTATGTCAGAGCCTTCATCCAAACTAACCCTTAATTCTGCAGAAGGTGCTTGGGAAACCACAATGATCAAGTGCAAGCTGTTATAGAAAAGAAACATGAGAATCCGCAATACAAAATTACTGAGTTTCTTTAATTTTTAATAATGAGTGAAGAATTTAAAACCCAGAATTATTACCAGAATCAATTGGTGTATGCTGTAATGCTTTAGAAAGCAAGATGCCTTCAGTTAATGTCATAGCCCACTCTATGGTTATCACCTTAACCAATATACATAACAGCTTTAAGTATCAATTAAGTCATATTGTACTAGAAAGAAAATGGAACACCCACTCCCTAGTATATGTGTCTATAGTAGACACAAGGAGGGCAAGTAATGGAACATGTTGTGGTATGAACCATGTGATTCACATATGTTCTTTGGTGGCCTGGTTTCCTTTTACCCCTAACTCTTCCAAACATAATTGCTTTCTCCAGTGAATTCCCCCAAATGCCATGGCCAAAATAAATGACAGAGTTTTGTAATTTTGAGAGAATGCTAACCAGTGTAATCAACCTACTTTTACTTCGATGTAAGAAATAGCGATAGAATGTAAACTAGTACTTAATCTTAACAATTAAAAGCAAGTTGGCTGGGGAAATACTGGGAGTCCTCAGAATTTAGGTTGCCGAGACTGATAAACATTGATGTAGACGTAAGAGTGTTCATATTTAGCAAATAATTTTGACCCACAGGTAACAGGGTAAACTTCATCAGAAGTAGAAAGTACTTGATCACATTAGTAGAAATGTTTGGAATTATATACACATTCTTTGATATTGCTTTGCTTTGTAGTATTATTGTAGCTTCCTGGCTACTTATCACTAGGTAAGGTTGGAATGGGGCAGAAAAGCAATTTAGTTTGTCTGGCTAAGTTGCTGCAATAAAACACTGAAACTGAAAATTTCCTTTACTTTGCTGTGCTAATAAAAAAAAAAAGAGAAGATTCCCAGAAGGTATCTTGAGTGCTGTGACTTGGATCAACCTCCCACGTGCTCATAACAAAGTCATTTTATTAAAATTACATGTCAGTGTGTAACAATTTCTAGCCTGGCAAAGGAAATAGTGCAACTGAACAGAAATTTTATTTTACAGTACTTGTAATTATTTAATCGAATTCCATAACTAGTAAACTGATCAGTGACACACTTCTTTAAACTGAAGAACATTAAACAGAATATTAATTTAAAACATATTTAATTTAAATATGATTTACAATAAACATTTTCTTTTATGAGTACTGCAATTTCCTTTTATTGTCCTCCCAACCTGATGTATCATGGAAAGCTCTACAGGCGTCATGCCAGCATTATATGGATATCACTAAAAATATCTGTGACTATCATATCTTCCACAACAGTGGTCTGAGCAGAACATGTACCGCAAACAAACAGCTTTAGGTTGACAGAGAATAGCATTTCATGGTCTTTTAAGTTCCAGCAATAAGTCTGAACCTAAAAGTTCCTGCATGTGAAGCCTTTACTCTTTTGGTGGCTCTGATTGTATTTCCCAGCAATATTTTATGTACAAAATATTTTACATATTTTATATACAAAGTTCTGGCTATATCATATGCTTTTTCCAAATGCATTCTTCAAGGCATACATTACTGGGATATTCTGGAAAACAGCTGACCCACCAACTAGGAACATACAACAGGGTGTCTGCCATGCTGTGTTTCAGAAGAACAAAAAACTCTTTCAGCAGGATTCATACAATAGGGCTGAACGCATGAATGCCCAGGCTACAAACTTGCAGATCAAAGAGAATGGAAAGGAGAGAACTATTCCACAAGTATAGTATCAATGCTCTCTTGAGAGAGGTCAGGATCCAATGCGTTTTGTGACTCCACCTGAGCTTGTGAGAGAGTGCCGCTTTTCACCACACTTGGGATCCAATTGTCACCATATGGCTGAAACTTGACAGCTGCCGTGTTGCCAACCCGCTGGTATCGGGCAAATTTGAAGTGTTTACCTTTGTGCGTATACATGTGTTCAAGAAGCTGGTTTTTTCGGAGAAATTTGTGACCACAAATAGTGCAGCTGATCTTTCTTTTCCGTGAAAAGGAAAAATTACAGTTTAATTCCACAGGTTCTGTATCCTTGGACACCAGTGACAGCTGGCCAATTGGCAGTGCTTCTAGGTTGGGGTGGCTGGGATATTCTGAGTAGTGCTCATTTTCTTTCTGAAGGAAGGAACTGAGTCGGTGGCTTTCAGTAGCTTCACAGTTTTCACTGAGTGGCTGCAGTTGGCTAAGGTTATTGCTTTCCAGGATGGAGGTGGGAACCCTGAAGGGCAATGATCCTGACACATGAGTAAACAGGTGTTCACATAAATTGTTCCTGGATTCAAAATGTTCCCCACAGTACTGGCATAAATGAACTTTGAGGTTTTCTTTGGAAAAGGCTGGACTCCTGAGATTTGGGGAGGATGATGTGTGACTCTGAGACACAACTGGCTCTGCGTCAGTCTTCTCTTGTTTTATAGTCACAGGTGGATTTGTAGCCTCCTCTGGTGGTTTCCCAGCGGTCTTGGTAGAAGGATGGGAAACCTGCTGGTCCAAAGACCCATCATCCAACCCAATTGCCAGAGATAGCTGGAGCTGAGGATGATCTCCCTGATTAGCGGGTCTACTACCAATATTGGTTAAGTTTTCCTTTGCTTGGAGATTCTCCTTCACAGCCTTATGTGTGGTTGAGATCTGAATCCCATAAAGGTTTGAAGACTGCACAACCTCTGGAGAAAGCATCTGGTTCATTTCAATTGCCATGCGAGAAAGATAGTCAGCATGCAGGAAACGGATGCCTTCTTCTAGTCGCGTATGACTGACCATCTGTTTAGGTCCTTTGCCAGTGTACATTATATGAAGCAAGTAGCTGAATATGTCAGGTTGGATATCAGTGGGCTGAATCTTTATGCATTCACTGCTTGAAACAAAAGTGAGAGTTAAGTAAGAACATCATGGTTAAATCTCTGTTTATTGAAGGATGAAGACAAGCATATTCAGTATGTCTCAAAGGAGCCTTAAGAATGAATATGTTAATTAAGATATATAATTTAAAGGATTCGGAGGCCCTTCTATAAATGCATAAAATGGAATTCCAAAGTCATATATAGATGCATAAAATGTAAAAGATATTAGGAAAAGTTTCGGTTGTGAAAATATGTTAAAACATCACTGCATATCTAAGAACAAAAGCTGGCAGATACTCTAGGCCAGGGATCGGCAACCCATGGCTCTGGAGCCACATGTGGCTCTTTCATCCCTCTGCTGCAGCTTCCTGTCGCCGGTTGGTAAAAGGAAAAAGGACGCTGTGCTAAGAGGACTATATGGTGGGGAAACCAGACTTCCGGTCGGCTCCAGAATTAAACAGGGGGCTTCTGGTTAGGACCTTTGGGGCTCTTTTGAGTGTTTAAGGTTGCCAACCCCTGCTCTAGGCTAACTTACATACAAATGGCTGTTATGCATTCCTCCTGGCTTGAGACTGCAAGAACGGTGTTATCTGGAAACTGCGGCCACCATCCTGACTTCTCCCTAGTGACACCCATGAGGGAAGTATGTTGTTTTGAAAACTACTCCCCATTCCTGCATTGCTCTTAACAGCTCTCAGGAATGAAGCTACTAGAAGTGTTTCCCTCACTCAAGAGTGGTGACGTGCTGCTGCTAGGAGTGACAGCAGTGCTGTCCTCTGAACGTAACAGATGAGAAAGGAAAGCTTGGTTACTTTTTCTTCTTGTCTCAAAAGCCAGATACCCCAACTCATAAAATTTAGCACCCACAAAGGATTATTTGTAACTGTGAAGAGGGTGGGAGATTCACACCTAGTACACTGATGGACAGAAGAAAGCTTACATTTCTTAAAAGTTACAACTCCCTGCCCAACTTCTCTCACCACCTCCTTGCTCCTTTTGCTGAGTTTCCTCCCAGACTAAATCAAAGATAACATCCCTGTTTTCAGTTAAAGGAAGAGAGAAAAGTTGACAAGTCTCTCCAATAGGAACACTGAGCTTGTGGAAGATTTTCTATGAAGTTGACATTTTCCAAGCAATAAACAAACACCAGATATGCTTGTTCTCATTGCAACCAAAACATAAGTGATTACAGAATCGCACAGCCCTATGACTGGATGGCAGAAGACACATCCAGCAGTGGGACCCTCCAATAACTCTTCTGCTATGAAACAGAACCTTCTCATAGTAAGTCTGTTTTCTGTTATATAAATGTATCCTTTAAATTAATATTTTCCAAACTTGGCAA